ATCAGAATAAAACACAAATTTCCTCAATAAAAGTATAATTATAAAATAAAATAAATAATCAGACACTTCAAAATATTTTTTTTAAGGTGTGGTAATATTGATTGATATCAAGTATATGGATGATTCCATTGATTTCAAAAGGAATCCATGTTATCAGTATTGTCCAGAAACATAGCTGTGTTACAACACATCCGGGTCCATTTGGGATTTTTGTAGGGTGAAATCCCCATGCCGATTTGCCCTGAGAAATGTCAGGGAAAGGAAATGGTGCTCATAATGCCTAGAGAGGATTTTAATCAAGTGACCTAGAATCCCTAGTGATGCACAAATTTTTGGTCATAATTGACAACAGAAAGCTGTTTGATTTGACTTAAAGAACAGAATTAATTTGCATATGTGACAAAATAACTATTTTTAAAATTAATTTATATGTGGCATTGTAGCTTAATAGTTAGCACTGTCACCTCAAGAAGCAAGAAGGTCGCTAGTTCGAGTCCCAACTTGGCCAGTTGGCATTTCTGTGATGAATTTGCAAGTTCTCTTTGTGTGTACGTGGGTTTCCTTCTGGTGCTCCGGTTTCCCCCACAATCTAAAGACATGCGCAATTCACTATAGGTGAATTGAATAAACTAAACTGGCCATAGTGTGTGTGTGAATGTGAGAGTCTTTGGGTGTTTCCACGTACTTGGTTGCAGCTGAAAGGGTATCCACTGTGTAAAACATATACTAAAAGAGTTGGTGGTTTATTCCACTGTGGCGACCTCTAAAGAAAAGACTAAGGAAAATGAATAAATAATTATATATATCTCATACTTTCAGTCATATTTTCCCAACATTCAAAGCACTCATACCAGAGGTGGGACCAAGTCATTGTTTGGCAAGTCACAAGTAAGTCTCAAGTCATTGCCCTCAAGTCCCGAGTCAAGTCCCGAGTCAAGACAGGCAAGTCCCGAGTCAAGTCCCAAGTCAAAGGCAACAAGTCTCAAGTCAAGTCCAAAGTCCTATAGTTTGATTTTCGAGTCTTTTCGAGTCTTTTTAACAGAAAAATAAAATGTAAACAGATTATGTATGGTTGTTTATTAAACAATCCTTTTTTTTAAAGAACATTGCTCAGATATATAAAAACACAAATGTAATTTTCTAAAAAAGTGCTGAACAGTGCTGCGTCTTGTCTACACAGCATATTGCACAAGAACGAGTTCCACCACAATAGAGTCCATTTTGCCTCACATCACACAGAAATTGCAGGTCTACTGCTGTCTAATTCATTAAGTTTAGTTGTGCTATGTTATGTCTTCGGTGATCAACTTGTGATTAACTAAAACTACATAAACGACCTCAATGAGGCAGCAGTAGACCAAGAACTCCTGTATGCTGCCAAGTAAAATTGAGTGAACTTGTTTTTTTGTCAATTGAATCTTGTGTGTGCTGATGAGATGGAGGTGCAAATCTGTCTAGCAGCAATGTAAAATTGTGGCACATATTCTCAATGAAGTAGGCTACTTCATACAAACAATAACGTTGTTTTCTTCACATAACAATGAAGAACTTTGCTTTCTATCTTGTGTGATGCTCGTGCACTGATTTCCTCTGTGGACAAAACTGCTTGCGAGCTCTCAAATATACGCTGCTCACACGCAAATTTTCTCGCTCTCAAATATGCACTGCTCACGCACACATTTTCCTGCGTGCTCTCAGAGATTATATACAGAATTTGTGTCTTGTGTTTCCTCTTCCTTTCGTGATTTTGATATGATTTATATTGAGGCACTATTTATTAACAATAACCAAAATACTAAATCAGACTTACATATTACATTTTTTATCTAATAAACCATAACATTTTGGCTGTATGTTATAGGATGAGATATTTCCAGTTACAAACACTTAAAGACACAGAGAATAGATGTTGGATGTAAAGAATGCATTTTGTTTTACAAACATTTATTAAACATCCAAAAGGTGCACCATACTAATCAAATAAAAAACACATGAACACATCTATTGGCATGGACAGTGTTTTGAACAGTACTATAGTAAAGTACTTTAATTAATCTGTTGGGGTCATATTATAGTTGCTATGGTAACACAAGTGTAATATAAACAAATTACCCAGTACTGTAGTTTTTTACAATATAGGGTATATTATACTACAATTCACCACACTTTACTGTAGAAAAACTACACTCTGTATTTTATTTTATCAGTTCACTATTCTTAATACTACATGCTGAAGCATTCATTAACAACTTGTCAATAATAGCCTAAAACATAGGCAGTATACATAACTCTCAAAAACACTAGTATTTATTATAGAATTTACCTTAACCTCATATTTTTTTGTGTATTGTTACTAAATAGTATAGCAATATAAAAACCATATCAACATTCTGGAATAATCAATTTACCAGGAGGATCTCTGGAGAGCAAAAGCAGGAAAGGTTTGAGGCGCCAGTGTGGACAAAAGTCAAGCAAAGGCAGTGAGACTGAATACGCGTGCGAGAGACCAGCCAATCAGATTGAAGTACCTGCCCACTGGTGAAAGTAATGTCAGAGCCAATCAGATTTTTCTTTCTTTTCATAAAGAACGGGGTTCGAATCCCACTTAGGCACTTGTAAACTATCATTTTAGACCATTTTGTCAAAAATCCCTACTGAAAAAAACTGCTTGAACCAGCCTAGGCTGGTTGGCTGGTTTTAGCTGGTCGACCTGGCTGGTTTTAGAGGGGTTTTGGCCATTTCCAGGCTGGTTTCCAGCCATTTCCAGCCTGGTCTTAGCTGGTCAGGCTGGGAGATGACCAGCTAAAACCAGCTTGACCAGCCTAGCCAGGCTGGGAGCCCAGCCCAAACCAGCTATGTCCAGCTTAAACCAGGCTGGTCAAGCTGGTTTTAGCTGGATTTTGCTGGTCAGTTTCCAGCCTGACCAGCTAAGACCAGGCTGGAAATGGCTGGAAACCAGCCTGGAAATGACCAAAACCCCTCTAAAACCAGCCTGGTCGACCAGCTAAAACCAGCTTACCAGCCTAGGCTAGTTTAAGCTGGATTTTTCTGCAGGGATATTGTAAAGTTTAACAATTTATTAGAGCCACGAATTATTTAAAACTTGTTTTTATGTTTGAATAGCCAATAAATGTGCTAAATAAATTAAAATAGAAATACCCACAGTGAAACAGTTATATAAATTTAAATATTAGTTTAAATACATTCATAGTGGTTTTAAATATCTTTTAATATGTAAAGTAGAGAAGTTCACATTCAACACACTGAATAAAACAAGTCTTCGTTTTTAGTTTATTTAAAAAACAATTACAAATGGAGTATTTCAACTCACAATTAAATGATCTCATTGAGTGATGGAATAATAAAGGTAAAACTTTAATTGAATGATCAGTCAAGTGTTTCCAAATGAAATCTGTTAATATAAGAGTCCTACAAAACAGGAACAAAGACACTCAAGAAACAAAATGTGATTGTTAATTGTATTTTTTATTAGATGGTTGGTTTTAAGTACTTTAAAAATAGTAGATAAGCCTTAAATATAGAGGGGGAAATACAGAAAAACAAACAAACAGAAATTCAACAATATAGATGCATTACATTACAATCTCACAATAAAAATTTAATTAAAAACCATATAGAGGACTAAAATATTGCATAAGATCAACAATACAAATACTTTTAAGGTTTTAAATACTAAATAAAATTAATAGTATCAATCCAAAATATGAAAAAGGTAACACTTTACAATAAGGTTGTATTAATTAATTAAGTTTATGTATGTACTAATGTGAACAAACAATGCAGTGCAGTACAGTTACAGTTCATTACAGTATTCATTAATTAATGGAAATAAAAAATAATTGGTTAACTCTTGTTAAATCACAGTGCATTAACATTAATGTTGACAAGCATACCTTTAAATTGTAATAATGCAATAGTAAATGTTAAACTATAATTAATAAAGGTTTAAAAGTATAGTTCATTATTAGTTCATGTTAGTACATAGATTAACTAAAGAAACCTTATTGCAAAATGTCACCAAAAAATAACAAAACACTTTTTTCACAGTTTTAAGAGCTTTAAAAGTAAATTATATATATCTAGTTATTATGGCATGTAATTAATGTTACTACTAATTAAATAGTTAGAAAATACTGTCAGAGGATGGGCAAAACACAAAAATAAAACATAATATGCGCATTGACACAAATGACCAAGTGTAAAAACATAAATTACAGCCATGTTCATTCATAATTATGTGAAATAAATCACAAGAGGGTAAATTTGGTTTAAAAAAAACTGAAGTTCATTGACTTATGCACAACAGTAAAACAATGCTTTTGCACAGTAACACATTGCGAGTAGTAAAGTCTCTTACCTTTGACAGATGTAAATCCGCTGAATAAAACAAAAGGAGCAGATCGCGGATGTGTTTATTTCACTCTCCGAGTCAGAATGAAAATGGCATCTTCAAATTTCCCGCTGGTGCAAAAACACGGAAGTGCGCCACAAAGCGCTAGTGGTCGAAAGTATGCGTGCATGCTCTCTGTCTCACACACACATATGTAGAGATAGAACGTTCCTGTCAACATACTTTTTATCTTTGGGCTTTTTATAGAAAGTAGCAAGTCTTTACAAGTCAATAGGCGCAAGTCCAAGTGAAAGTCCGAGTCATTCATGTTCAAGTCCAAGTCGAGTTGCAAGTCTTTTCATATTTTGTCAAGTCGAGTCTGAAGTCATCAAATTCATGACTCGAGTCTGACTCGAGTCCAAGTCACATGACTCGAGTCCACACCTCTGACTCATACAGATTGTCTTTAAAATAAACTCCAACACCTGCCAAGACCACAAGTGTCAGCTGGCTATTGACAAATCCTCTAAATAATGTAAAACGTCCAATACTCCAAGCAGCTTCAAACTCAGCAGTATTATCTGCAATACAACAGAGTTAAACCACAGCCTAAATCTATAGGGGGCATTAAAGCAGAGGCAGATGTCTGATGAATAATGTACTATACATCATAACGCACTCAACTTCATAGGGATCTTATGCTAATAACATCATTAAATCCAATCAAAAGCTCATTTATAATTGCTCCATTATTAACATGACCGCACTGCCAAGGATGCATGAAGGAGGGACGTAAACTCAAGCTTCACACACAAATGATATACAGACGCAATCTCAAATCATAACAGGGGTGTCAACCCAGTATCGAAGTAATTTGGTTCTATCCAACGATCTTTCTTGGGCCTTGTTCAGAGCTAAAGGAAAGCTTGAATTCATCCATGTCAGTCATGTTTCATCAAGTCTCATTTACTAAGCAGAGTTTGTGGCATAGCAGCGGAGACCAGCACTTCCCCCAATCGAGGCTGAGACCCCTGAACCAAGACAGGAGGAGAGTGAGGTAACGGAAACATGTCTCCAGTTTGGGTTTTACCATTCTTTTCTTCTTTTTCCAGCATCTGTTCTTTTTTGCCTTCCAGAACCAATCGAACAGCCTCATTGAAAACGACACGGGGGTCGGTTTTAGGGAGTTCAGGACAGTTGCATCGGGCACGAAGTTCAAGAGCCTATAACAAAATGTAAAATAACACACATTACAGAAGATCTATTATGCATAATTTACAGATGAGTGCCAAACAACCTGCATATAATGGTGAAACCAGTCACTTTTTTTTATTTATAATCCCAATGAATCATAAATAGTGTATATACAGGATTCAGATAATGAAGTTCGATACCTTTTAAGACCTTTTTTAACACTCTTTCTATACATTTTAAGACACTTTAGGTCCAACCAGTGACACAGGTGGCATTTTTTTACTTACAGAAGATTTACTAAATTTGGATTGTAACAAACTAATCCTAAACCAAAACATTACTCATATACTGAAAAACATGGCAAGCTAGCATATGGCGCCTATAGACCATTTCAATGTGGTCATGTCATCAGTCCATGTACATTTCCTGCTAGTTAATTAACTATTTCATAACTGTAACAAGAAGCAATTCAACCATGACTTGGTGTTAAACCAGCTATCATAATTAATCATCAATACAAGCTCAACTCCTCGTTCAAGCTCTTGTTCTCTCCAAACTAGATTACTGCAACTCTCTACTAGCTGGGCTTCCAGCTAACTCTATCAAGCCTCTTCAGCTGCTCCAGAACGCAGCAGCACGAGTGGTCTTCAATTAACCTAAATGAGCACATGTCACTCCGCTGCTAGTCCGTTTGCACTGGCTGCCAGTTGCTGCTCGCATCAAATTCAAAGCTCTGATGTTTGCCTACAAAGCGACTTCTGGCCTTGCTCCTTCTTATCTGCTCTCACTTCTGCAGATCTATGTGCCCTCCAGAAACTTGCGTTCTGTGAATGAACGTCGCCTCGTGGTTTCATCCCAAAGAGGGAAGAAATCACTTTCGCGAACGCTCACGCTCAATCTGCCCAGTTGGTGGAATGAACTCCCTAACTGCATCAGAACAGCAGAGTCACTCGCTACTTTCAAGAAACGACTAAAAACTCAACTATTTAGTCTCCACTTCACTTCCTAATCTGCAATTGCCTCTCTGGATATCACACTAACTGTACTCAAAAAAAAAAAAAAAAACTAATACTTTCCTTCTTAGACTTTACTGACCTGAAACTTGCCTATAGCACTTATTCATTGTTGCTCTTATAGTTGTGTAAATTGCTTCCTTGTCCCCATTTGTAAGTCACTTTGGATAAAAGCGTCTGCTAAATGACTAAATGTAAATGTAATGTAAATGTAAATATGTGGATTCTCGGAAGCTATAAAAAATTAAAATTGTAAAACAGGAAATACGTTGGGACCATTGTTTTTGTTTACATCCCTCAAAATAGTCTGTAGACCTTTTTCTTAGGGACCGATCACACCGAACGCGCTTTTTGCATTGAGAGGCGACTTTTTGGTATGATTTACTAATAGCAGTGAGCGTTTTGCGGGCTGCTTATATGCCCTGTGCGCTTCGCATTTTAACTGCCTGCTGTGCCTCACGTTTTTGCTCCATGTGAGCTCGCAGTTGAAAAAAAGTCAACTCTGAGCAGAAAAAGCCTGTTACTTCACTCATTTTTTATTGTCCAATCAAACGAAAGCAGAGGCGGGGATTCTGTTGAGATGCCTGCAGTGGTTAGGTGCGTTCGACTTGAACCATGGCTGCAGTTGGTAATTAACGAGATTAGCCGAGCACAGGTGGGGGCGGAGTTGAAAACAGAGCCGGACAGCCAAACACTTAGGGCCTCAAAGTTGCGGCAGTCATGATGACTGATCACATGGCATCAAAACAACAAAAGGTTTACAGTAAAAACAAAACAGAATACAGCCTCTACAAACTATAATTCATTTTTAAACAACAAGGGAATTATGAATTAAACATATAACAAACCCATTAGAGAAAAAAAAGGAAAACGAGAGGGTTATAAAAACAAAAACAAAAAAATGAATAGGCCTATTTAATACAAAGCCATAAGCAAGTAGCAGTCACGTAGCATCTGCGCAGCGTCAATCCGGACAAAATTTCTAAACTTTCTGCATGAAGTCGAACACATCTTTTGTGTTGTCAAGACAACAACAAAACTTTTGAAAATGGAGGAGAGACTGTTTTGAGTTATCCGGACCTGTATGACTTTACAAATCTTGAATATCACAATTTTATTAAATATTAAAATTATTTTAATATCAACAGCAATGCTCAAGCACAACACCCAGCTGATTCAGGGCCTACTCACACTATGCCATCCGTACCGTGCCCAGGCCCGTTTCCCGGATCGTTTGAGAAGTGTAAGTGCGCTGAATCGGGCTCAAGCACGGTTCACTTGGCCGGCCCTGGCCCGTTTGGAAGAGGTGTGCCTGAGCACGGTTCACTTGGGCTTTAGCGCGGTACGCTTGTGTGTGAGTGCAAAACGCGCCAAAGCCCGAAACTGAAAGCGAGACGTGACTTTTACAGGGCTGTTTCATATTGATTTATTAATCTTTCTTACTGTTCAGTGAACACAAACTGCCGTAGTTTATTAAAGACGAGAACTCCTCACTGCATGACAGCTGCGCGGCTTCAGCAGACCTCCTCATTCCTGCAGCACCAGAGTTTTATGATTGTTTTTAAGCCAAAAGTGGCGGATCTGTTTGGCAAAATATCTGACTGCGTGTCACCGCATCCCTAAGGACTGTGTGGCGAATTATTTGACTGCATGTTATTGCATATCAAACGACTGAAACGATATAACTAGAGAAATCTCCACTGTGCTGCTGAGTAAGAGAGCACTTCTCACTGAACAGCACAGCAGCGGTGACGTAAGCATGCCAAGGCCCGTTTGTGGTGTGAGCCCGGGCCGTCGGGGGAGACGGGAGGGGGGACAAGCGTGCTTTGGCCTGGTTCGAGGCAACTGTACATAGTGTGGATACAGCCTCAGTCATTGCCTAGCGACATAAAAAGCGCACCGCACTTCTTTTTTTCTTGACAACAAAAAAGGCAATGTGGTCACGTTTTTGGATCAGAAAAGCACATTAGGTATGATCGACCCCTTAGAACGTGAAATTATCCATTATGCTTTGCGTTTATGTGTAAGGAGGATGCTTCGAACTTCTGGTCGGCAGATGATGCATATAAAGAGTCACATTTGGACAGGTTTGAGACAATAGTTTTAATCTATTTTACTTGCTTAACGTCATTGAACTTACCACAGATTTATATGATACAGTATCTTGTGAAAAGGGGGGTAATACATCCATCTTAATGCAGCATGTTATGAGCTTTGACCTTCCACCTATAAACCTTCCATCTTGTCTTCTGCACCCAAGTGACACAAGTTTAGAGGGATGGATGGAAGTTACATGAAATCTTGATGGATTGGAATAGAGATTTGAAAAAATGGACCGATCTAAATTCCGATCTAAATGGATAGTTTGGAGAAGTGGATGGATAGATGGGTGGATGAACATCGACTAGGATCTTCTACATTAAAGACATCCAGACTCATTTACAAAGATTGATTTGACAAAGAAAACGACCTCTACTGCATTCTGTCTGTGACCCCTGCACTTTGACCTCCTATCTCCATTAGGGTTGATGAGAAACATACAAACCTTCATAACAACAGATCGATAACGCCTCTCGGAATTGCACAAAGGACACTTAAATCTAAGGGAACAAGAAGTCGCTGAGACTTATTTCAGTATGTTGATGTACTTCCAGCTGAAATAGAATATTGAGTAGGGGGCGGAGTTATCTTTTTGCACATCACTCCCTCATAGCAAACTAATGGTAAGATGGGTGTGGTTAAGAATAGTGTGGCTGAAGCCATCAAACTGACCTCAACAGAGAAGGAACGTATGGAGACCCGGAAGGGACATAATGGTGGGGGGGGGGGGGGGAAATGGTTTCCTCGCAAAACTGGTTTTACATAAACACTTCCTGTTCACCTTATACATGTCAACCCTCCTGTTTCTCTTTTGTATTTTACCATTCTATCCCTCTATCATCCTATCATTAAGTATTTTCCCATATTTCTCATGTATTTTAATCTTGAAAGCACGTTGAAATGAATATAAAAATGTCTGTATTTACTTTCTTTCCAGCAAAGTTGTGCGTCAATCATCACCCTTCATTTACAACCTCTGAATCAGAGAATTCATGTATACGGACCTGGTTCGTATGATAAACTGATCCCAGATCAGCTTCTGTACACGCCATTTAAAGAGGAGCTAAAATGCAGGACACTTTGGGATTCGAGTGTCTTTAAACAGACAAATACACTTAATAATATGTAAACATGTCCGTCCTGCATGTTTTATTTTAAACACTAATAATTTTCTCTTAAATGAGCATAAACAGTACCTGAAGTAATGGAGAACTCTCATTATAGATCTGTGCATTCTTACAGTGACACCTCTGCTATTAAACTAAACAAAACGAGAGATTTATGTGCTGTTCTTTACTTGTTTGATAAAAGAGGTATGTTTAATGATAAAGAAGTCACTTTAAATGGCGTGTACAAAAGCTGATATGGCATTAGTTTATCATACGAAGCAGGTCCGTATATATGCATTCACTAATTCAGAGGTTGCATTTGGGGGATGATCGACGCACAGCTTAAATGGAAAGAAAGTGAATACAGACATTTTTATATTAATTTCAACGTGCTTTTAAGATTCAAAATACAAGAGAAATATGGAAAAATACGTAATGATAGGATGATAGAGGGATAGAATGGTAAAATACAGGAGAGTCCCGGCAAAAACAGGAGGGTTAACATGTATGAAGTGAACAGGAAGTGTTTGTGGAAAACCAGTTCTGCGAGATAACACAAAACAACTTTGCAAAGGAACGCAAAACATCTTCGCGAGGGAACGCAAAAACTTGATATAAAAAAAATTCCTAAAGTTTCCTATCACTGTTTCTTTTTTTCCTCCCACCCATTTTTTTTCTCTCACCCATTTTTTATTCTCCCACTCAGTTCTTCTTTCCTCCACCCATTTTTTCCCCACCATCACATCCCTTCCGGATCTCTGTAGGACCGCCACTCCCAATGTGGAAGCAAAAAGTTAGACTTTGATT